GCTGCTGCTGATGCTATCACTGTTGCTGTTGCTGTTGCTGATGCTATTCTTTCTTGCTGCACTAATTGGCGACCTTAGTAGAAAATTAGGGTTTAGGGTTTAGGGTTTAGGATTTAGGGTTTGGGGTTTAGGGTTTGTGTATGCGCAGTCTTATTGGTTAGTATTGGAGGCAGTTTGTTCTCTTGTTAGTCATGTTGATGATGGAGGACTTATGCTAGGAGTTAGTTGCTGCTGCTGTTGCTGCTGCTGCTGCTGTTGCTGCTGCTGCTGTTGCTGCTGCTGCTGTTGCTGCTGCTGCTGCTGCAGCTGTTGCTGCATTTGTTGTTGCTGCATTTGTTGCTGCTGCTGCAGTTGTTGCTGCTGCAGTTGTTGCTGCTGCATCGTTAACTGCTGCTGCTGGCTGCTGCTGTTGGTGTATTTGCTGCTACTGCTGCTGTTCATGTTTTGGTCCTGCTGCTGCTGCTGCATTTTGCTGCTGCTGCTGCTGCTGCTGCTGTTGTTGTTGCTGTGTCTGCAGATGTTAGAAAGCCTTTGCCGTCCCTCAATTGCTGCTATAGAGGAGGCACTTGCTGCAGGGCAGCAGCAGCAGCAGCAGCAGCAGCAGCAGCAACAGCAGCAACAGCAGCCGCTGCAGCCGCAGCAGCTGGCAGCTCTATGCACTAAGCTCGATTCCCTCGCTATTGTACTAAGGTATGATGCTGCTGCTGCTGCAGGTGCTGCTGCTGCTACTGCATTTGCTGCTGCGCTTTGCAGCTAGTCCTGCTGCATCTGCAGCAGCAGCTGCTGCTGCTGCACACTTGCATCTGCTGCAATTTCTTTTCACGGGCATCTCTTGCTGCTGCATCTGTTGCTGCTGCTGCATCTGTTGCTGCTGCTGCATCTGTTGCTGCTGCTGCTGCTGCTGCTATTTAGGGACACATCTTCTGGTGTAAAAGAGGAGCCACAAAGATTAGCAGCAGTACAGACATTTGTCTGCAGCACATTATGGCCATTGCTGCAGCAGCTGCTGCTGCAGCAGCAGCGCAGCGCAGCAATAATAGAGAGAGCATTGAGGTGTATGAAGCATGCAGTAAGAATTGCAGGAGATGCATTCAAGCCTCTTGTCCTCCCTTTCTTACAAATTCTTCAAGCTAATTCTAGGGTAAATTAGGGTTTAGGGTTTAGGGTTTAGGGTTTAGGGTTTAGGGTTTAGGGTTTAGGAGGGGTGGGGTGATAGGATTTGGGCTTGGAGGGGTTTAGACAGATTGGTGATGGTTTAGGGTTTATTATTAGGGTTTTTATATTTATTTATAGGGTTTAGGGTTTATTAGGGTTTATAATATGGTTTATTAGGGTTTACTAGGGTTTACTAGGGTTTACTAGGGTTTAGGGTTTATGTGTGTATATAGGTACATATACACCCTACATATTTATATGCAGCAGAATGGATGGCGGTTTCCTTTGGTCGTGGAGAGTTACCTGTACAGCAAACCCTAGCAGCATTAATTGAAGAATTAGCTGCTGCAGGGTTCCAGAGTATTGAAAGTCATGTAAGGGTTTAGGGTTTATTAGGGTTCATTAGGGTTTATTAGGGTTAGGGTTTATTAGGTTTAATTAGGGTTTATTAGGGTTTAGGGTTTATAAGAAAGTTAAATCCCTATTGATATCATAGTATAATCCCTTATTAAAATTTTTCAAAATTTTTTAGGGTTTAGGGTTTAGGGTTTAGGGTTTAGGGTTTAGGGTTTAGGGTTTAGGGTTTAGGGTTTACGGTGTATAGGGTGGATCGGAAGATAGTGCTGAGATGATAGAAGATTGTTATGGCATGTTAAGTCGTCTATTAAAAAGATGTCCTAATGTTGCTGCATCTGTACCTAATGTATTAAGACAGGAATGCTGCTGCTGCTGCTGCTGCTGCTGTTGCTGCTGCTGCTGCTGCTGCTGCTGCTGCTGCTGCTGCTGATGGTGTTGTTGGTGATATACGTGTTGCTGGGGTTTTGCTGCTGCTGCTGCTGGCTGCTGCTGCTGCTGTTCGTGCTGCTACTGCTGTTGGTGCTGCTCTTTCCTTTTTTCTTTGCTGCAAAAAATATTTATTTTATTTATTTATATTTATTTATTTATTTATATTTATTTATTTATTTATTTATTTATTTATTTATTTATTTATTTAGGGTTTAGAGCATTGTAGTATGTGTATGGCTGTTGATACATCGGGGGCAATAACGTTAGTCTTCTCCTTTATGGAGAGTATAGTGCATGCATCCAGTACGTAATAAACCCTAAACCCTAAACCCTAAACCCTAATAAACCCTAAACCCTAATAAACCCTAAACCCTCATCAAACCCTAAACCCTCATCAAACCCTAAACCCTAATAAACCGTAATAAACCCTAAACCCTAGATTACTACATTTTTTTAATTCGTTTTTATTCTTTTTTATTTCTTTTTTATTCCTTTTCTCTTTTTTATTTCTTTTTTATTTCCTTTTTTATTCCTTTTCTCTTTTTTATTTTTTTTAAAA